GGGGGGGGGGGGGGGGGGGGGGGGGGGGGGGGGGGGGGGGGGGGTTGCTGGGCATGGACAGGGCACAAGGGGCCTCGCCATTCCACTCCATACCCTTACGTGGTGACGGGGATCTCTCAGTTGGAGCTCTAAACAGATAGAAAAATAATATCTTTCGTGAAACAACATTTTGTTTCCCGTGTTCCATGTGCCATACTTTTGTTGTACTTTGGCCATTCTTTGGGGGCATCGCTCCCCCCCCCCCTCCTCCCCAATAACATTGTTGGGGGGGTACGTGCCCTTTAGCCCCCATGGGTTCGGCGCCTTTACTAGGCCGAGATGCCTTAAAACATTTTACCATTGTAGGCAATATTGCAGTACTTCTTAGTGTTTTTTCTTCAAAGGATATTTTATGTGACGTATTAGGAGGTGGCGTGCCAACACGAAAGCCGACGCCGCCTGTAAAAGGTAAAAAGGGAATGTCTATGAGGAAATGCTCGATCCCGCGACGTGTAAAACGCGACCATGAATTCTATGTGCATGACCTCAGTCGAAGATGCCTCCCTAGTGCCATGTTCTCCACAACCTCAGATCTTTTCAATCGCTTTTGTCAGTTTTGTATTTATAATGCCCCCCCCCCCCCCCTTAATAAATAAATGGAGATATTGTAGGTCTTACTTTGTGTACTTTGTTCCTTCTTGAATGTGTCGTAGTGTGAAACCTTTTTCTTCCTCAAGGTGGTCGTTAAAAAGCAAATCAACGTTCACGTGAAATTTTGCGACTGTATTGCGTCATTCTGCGCATATACTTCGATTGAAGTATCCAGTCTGCAGTAAGAAAAATTTCTTGACAAGCTCCCAATCATTCCAGCAATCTGCACTGGTTGTAAATTTCCATTCTAATAGATTCGAAATGGCCTAAAGCATAATCCAGTTAACGTGAAGAACGGATATGAATGTGGTTTCTCATAGGCAAGTATCCTTGTTCGCGCGAAAATTCACTCTCCATTCCAATCTGATATCATCCTAGATGAATCCTTCGTCTCATCATTACCCTTAAGATAAATTATTTTTGGCACCTTCGCGAAAAACTCTGCTTCGGGAAAGATGAACCATAATGATTCGTAGGGGAAGGCTGCATTCAACTTAAGATTAGAAATACCTTGGAGCAGGCCCTAGTCGAAAAAAAGGTAGGCTCTTTCGTGATAGGCACCTTACGTACCTTGTAGAGTAAGTGATACAAATTTCGACCCTGCAATAAAATTCGCCCCCAAGCTACATATTTAACGTAGAAGTACAAACAGCCTTTTTCAACAAAATTACATCAATTGTTGGTCTCGTGAATGGGCAGTGTGCATTTTCCTCTCGATTGGCATAGATCCCCCCCCCCCCCCCAAGGCCGTATTTAGGGGTTCATGGGGTTCAAACCCCCCCCCCCCTCCGAAATATCTTCCTTAAATTTTTGCCGTACTGCTATTCGTCGGTGTAAACGGCGCAGTACTTGGTATTTTTTTTATCTTTAATAGCTTATGACTTATTAAACACTGCAACTTACAGGAAAATCCAGATATGTCACAAAGACTTACAATGACAAGTATAAAAGAAATAGCCACAGCGCATACACTAGACCTCAACCCCATTGATGCATTGAGGCGCAGACCGTCGTTGGTTGTCCAAGAATCTATGGCTATGTCGCAAGATGTTGAGACGGAAGTGGGCGTGGAGTTCCGTGAAACAGGAAGGCAGGCTGATACGGCCCTACCCCCCCCCCCCCACACACACACACACACACACACAAATAATAATAATAAAATTTGATTTCAAACCGTGGGTGAGGGGGTGGATTTTGTATCACCTACCGTACATGGCTATTGCGGGGTGAGAGAAGGCGGGGGAGTAGCGGGGGTCGCCGGTTATGGTTGGATATGTGTCAGTTTGCTAGCCTCCCCTACGAGCTTTAAAACTTTAATTTTGGGACGATGGCTCAGGTCAAAACTCGGTCTTTCCGGGATGCCATCTCTCCCATTCCGAGCACTGATAAGCACGATCGTTAGAAGTCGAGGGTGTCGCTGGATACAGCCTTATCAAAACGTTCACACAGCACAGATACATAAACAGCGCAGATATGTCCCGGAGATGTCCCCCCGGAAATGAGACTTCCCCCCCACAAACACCCAGGAGGCGTTTCATTGAAGTTTGGTTACCCTTTTTTTTGAGGACGTCGACGTGAATGTGAACGTTTTGCCAGGTGTGTAAGTTATGGATTTTCTTATGGTATTTCGGCTACGCGTCTCGGATCTGGAACAGGAGGGTGGTAGCAAATTTCATTTATCTCAAAGCAGATGACGAGCAAACAACATTCGATCTGAGAGCAACTTCGGCTGTCATACGCAGCTATGGTGCAATCTACAGGGTGTTTGGAAAATCACTCCCCATTTTTTAAAAACTGTTATAACTTTCGTAATTTTTGGACAAGAACAATAATGATTTTTGTGTCAAAAGAAGCAGAGTTGAATAAGTTTTTATGATTTCACTGATTTGCTTGTTTAGGGTAATCTTCTATGCCGCCAAAATAGAATCTTCGACAGTGTGCAACTATTGATAGCTACATGGTATGAGGTGTGGAGGTCCAAAGGTGAATGGAAGCCATTCTCCTTCCGTCGCCTTCTCTGGACCAGGACAGGGGGCCTCCATACCTCATATTCTCCCCATGTTCCTCATCCTATGCAAATGCGGACTCCTGCAGTGATCGCAAGTTAGTAATACTGCAGGAAGGCCTGAGACTTCCTTTGGAAAGGTATATTTTCCTATAAATCACATCCATCAAGCAGAACCCATGCAATGTGAAATGGCACTAAAAAATAATTCACTTCAAGACAAATATAAGCAGCTTTCATTGTACATGCTGAAATGACACAAACATGATTCTTAGTAGACTGCCAACATTTTTTTTTAGGAATTTGAATTGACTAGACTTGATGAAGAGAGCTCTTCTCCTTTGCGAGTGGCTGCTTCCACAGCATCAATTAGGACAGACCTATTTAGAGAAAAAAAAATAAACTTCAATTGAAAGCATTCTTGCTAAAAGATCAGAGGGTAGGAACAAAGCATCTTTTCCTACTTTTCAGTGCCACACAGAAAATACAAATCAATCCAAGAAAAAATTATCACTGGCTTTGATTCTGAGTCTTGAATCTACTTGCTAGGAAAACAAAACTAGTCCTTTTTTTAATAAATAAAAAAAGCAATGCTAAGTCCTATTGAGAGCCTCCTGTGCATATGTCACAAATAATATAATACAAATAACAAATATACTATTTCAACATCACATAGGCAGTCAACTGTTGGCAAGGAATAGTGAGCCTCTATAACACTATACTTGAAGGAAACAAGGACTGAAATGAAATTTCCCCATGTCTTGTCTTCCAAGAAGAGGTAGGGGATTGCATTTTGTCAGAATTTAGAGTAAAAAGAGCAGGAAACAAAGAAGCAGGAAAGAGAATTGAGATTTATGTGAAACTTGAGATTACCAATTGGCTTGCTACATCTAATTGAAGCAGAGGTATTCCATGGTAAAGGATGATGTTATTCATTCAGCCAGAAGTCTCTCTTGCATTCTGCTACACTTTTTGTATGCATTTATTTGAGTATGCAGTTGAGCAGAGGTTAGAGGCCACTAGTTCTGTATTGAAATTTCTTTTTCACTTCCTCAGCTTTTTCTCACATTCCAGGTAGGATAGTACTTGTCCATAGTACATGTGCAATAAAGGTTCTTGATACCTGAGAACAAACTTGGAATGTGTGAGGGTCAGAAGCAGTTTAAGGTCCACGCCTTCATACACCCAACACTTGTAGGTGGCTCCGACATGAATTGACATTAATGACTCACGAACGGACCACCAGTGTGTCCGAGGGTTACAATGACTCTGTTGACTCCTTGTTTGTAACACAGTACATTTATTGAGATAACCAGTATTGGGTGAGATCAATAGCAGTAGGGATTAGAATAGGGATATTTGGAATCGTGTTGGAATCTATTGCGTCAGGTGATTGATGGACAAGGCATACAAAAGGATCCATACCTGAATGGATGTTAGTGAGCGACTTCCAACACTCAAACCCGACCCGATCAGGGTTCAACACATGTCCAGCGTCTTTACGACAGTCCTCACGATACCACACACTCTCGACTCTCGTCCCCACAACTGCGCTGCTGCTACTCTCTACACACCACTCTCTGAGCGCGCGGGACTTATGTTACATCATATCGAGCATGCGTACTGGTCAACATGACGATTTAAGCATCCTTATTAAGAGTACCTCCTACACACTCGTCCATGTTCTAAAAGATTATTATATATTTATTAAGCCTATAACTACTTGGAGAGATTACAAATGATGACAAAAAGGTACAACAAATAGAAAATAGGTTCTAACTCTGGACCCTATGAGTACAGGCTATGGCATAAGGTGAAGGAATAAGTTCGGGGTTAGCCCTACATCAGAGGAAACAATGAAAATAAATGGGTTTGGATGAGCTTGACAAGTGCCCAATTTTTTGGCTACAGTAATGGTACAAGTAAATATGCATGTGTGGAGTATGAATAAAGAGAGCATAGACAGAAGAGACTAAAAGTTCAAAAGGTTAAGTGGTGTAGTGGCATAAATGACTGGCAATCATGAGGTCTGATAAGATTCCCAGCCATTCCCAAGTGTTCTTTTGCCCTTTTCCTTATGTCATTTTTAACAGTGGCTAAAGTGAAAACCTTGAAAGTGGTTTTACACTTCTACAAAGCCAACACCTCAAAATAATAGCCACCCTCTGGAAGAAATAGAACATCCACAAGTACACATGTGCAAAGGGAAAAGCATGAGCCTCCAATGGAAGCAATGACAGGGTCACACAATCTTCACAAATGAGAGTGGCCAAAGTAAGCAAGGCATGAGGGCAACAAACACCCATACATGTCAAAAGGCTACATATTATGTAAAGGAGAATAAGAGGTACTCCTGGAAAAATGTGGCTTCAGTAATACATTCCCTGCTTCAGACCAGGAGATATATCTGACTCCCATGGTGTTTTGGTTATATGCACTGAAGTTTTCTCTTCTTACCGGAAAGCACCCTTTTCAAGGGCATGCAATCCAGCCATGGTTGTACCACCAGGTGAAGACACTCTTTCTCGCAGAATTGCAGGAGGCTCTACAGCAGTCAGAGCCAGCTGAGCAGCTCCCATCATGGTTTGAGCCGCTAGTTGAGAAGAAAGAGCACGTGGAAGCCCCATTTTCACCCCTCCATCTGATAGTGCTTCAAGGGCCATCAATAACTGATCTCATAGGATACAAGATAGGATCAACTTTACATGAATGAAAAGAAAAAGGGTATGCACAAATTGCAACCATATGCACACGAGCATGCAAAACTATTGAGGGTAAAATTACTCTAAGACATTTATCTTTTGATCCACTTACAAAAGCTATTCCTGAGCCTGAAAGAGCACAAGTGGCATTCATCTGTCCCTCAGGAACACGAACACAAAGACCAAGTGGCTTCATCAGGGTTTCAAATGATCTTGTGATGCTATCATCCTGGATATCTGTTGAGTAAGTCACACACCCACACTTCAATAGCACAGCTGTATTTGGCATGGCTCTGATCAACTGTCTTCCAAGTTGTCCATCACTCAACATCTGCAGTCAAATAAAAAAGACAATGGGGTCATTCCATAATGCTACATTTCAGCCTCAAGCTTATGAGAAGCAAATATTCACTCAAGTGTTCATTGCTGTTCAGAGTAGTTTCCTAACTGCTCTGCACTTACTAAAGACTATGTCCTCCAGATACTGGCTAAAGAATGGGCTGGAGTGGGCACAGAGCATGCCAATTTGGATGAGGTGCATTGACTAAGACAAGTTGCTTTCAACAAGTCATAGTCCTGCTTGGTTTCTAATTGGTTCTTGGTTTGGAGACAGGCAGTGTAAAATGTCCACAAGTACTGTTGAAGAACTGTCAATTTATGGGATGATATTATTGAGTGGGGAATGATCAGCAGCCAAAGCTTCTGTGACTCAGTCTGGTACAAAGAAGATGTGAGAGCAGAACAAGTTGTCTACTGATCAAGGATCACATATTCCCACCATGCAACAAATCTGGTCTGATGTTGTTAAAGCCCTTTTTGTGCATGATTTCACTTGGACACAAAACTCCAAACAGTCCACAACAAAACTGGAGGAAATTGGCATCAATACCCAAACTTTTGGCAGGGCCGGGTAGGTGAAGATATGAATCCAATCAAGCATGCCTGAGATTTCATCAGTTAAAGAGTGACCAAGAATTACTAGGAATGACAAAGAGCTGCTTTAAGCTGTTAGAATTACTTGGAATGATACTCCAATAGCCTCATTGTGGGCACTAGTTGAGAGTATGCTGAAACTTGCAAATTCCTTTTTGGAGGCTAGGAAGGGGCACTACTCATTATTAGGCAGCATCATTGGTGATTTTGTTGTTATTGTGAAAAGATTACAGTACAATTACTGAATTGAGTTGTCTGTATTATTTATTATTTTACAATCAAACTCACAAACCCTTAACTTCCCTTGATAGATTTAGAGATGAATTATTAACAATAATTTGCTGTCTCCAGTATATAGTACTATATGACTCAGTACCCACAGAAAATAGGTAGTCAAAATTGGTAGACTTACTTTGAAAATCATGATTATGAGGACAAACCTTTAGGAGGGTACTAGAGGAGATCCCAGCAGCAACAGAGATCCAAATTCTTGTGGTGACTGCACTTCCTGGTGAACATCTCAGCCTATCCATCACAGACTTCATCTCCTGTGGTTTCACAGCCAGAAATACCCAACTGCATGTTGATGGCAAAAGTCCTGATAGAGAAAGGAATTCGAATAGAATAATGTCAGCAGTTCAGGTGAGAATATAGGCTTTGATAAATGTATCTATAATATATAGATCCACATCTCCATTGCAACAATTTTGATGTCTTACCATTATCATGAGTGACATTGCACCCCCATGTCCTCCATATCTGAAGATTTCTATCAGAAGGGGCTGACACCCAAATCTGGCTTGGTTCCAGCAATCCTGAACCCAAAAAGAGGGGGTAAAAAAAGCACTAAATCCTGCAAGTTTAGCATTGTTTTGGGACTATGATTGACCTACTGGTCCTAGGTTAATGGGTTATACCATATGGTTTAACCCACTTACCCCATATAAACCATGGTAGGTTTTTTTTTTTTTTTTGGGGGGGGGGGGGGGGGGGGGGGGGGGGG